GACGTCTCTGTGGATGTCCCTCTATGGACATCCTTCCTGTGGACGTCCATCTGTGGGCGTGTCCCTGTGGGCGTGTCTCTGTGGATGTCTCTCTGTGGATGTCTCTCTGTGGGCGTGTCTCTGTGGGCGTCCCTCTGTGGGCGTCCCTCTGTGGGCGTCTCTCTGTGGGGCGTGTCTCTGTGGGCGTGTCTCTGTGGGCGTGTCTCTTTGGAGATCCATCTGTGGACATCCCTCCTGTGGACGTCCCTCTGTGGACGTCCCTCTGTGGGCGTGTCTCTGTGGGCGTGTCTCTGTCCCTGGACGCCGTTGTCCTTCTTAAAAATGGCGTTTGAAAGGTTCTCGCTACAGAACCATTCTGGAGGCGGGGCTTAATCTCGGGGGGCTGAACGGGGCTGTTTCTGCTCCCTTTGTGACACATCGACTTCACTTTGGCTCATAGCTCATTTCTCCGTGTAAAACTCTGAGTGCTGCTTCCCTTTGCCAGCAGACCGATTCCCCCACCGTTGAGTGTTTGCCGTGTTTGTCCTCATCCTTTCCAACGATTAGCTAAACGGCTTAAACAAAGTGTTCTGTGGTCTTTTCCAAAAGTCAGAATCTGTAGCAGTAAAGTTACAGATCAAAGGAACTCTTAAAGTGAAGCTAACTAATAAAACAGAAAAGTCCAATCAGGCAAAGCTTTGAAACCTTTGAGGCATTCGTAGCTTTAAAGTTGTGATGCTTGTGGATTTAAATGAGTCAGCACATTATTGTGCCGTCTTTACTGTAAGGTTTTATAACACGGCGGACTGTAACCGGACGCATCATATTGGGGTTTTAACTCGTTGTTTTTCTGAGTTACCAGCAGTTCTGCTTCTGCTTATATGAAGTGTCTGACCTCATGCTGTGTGTTTAACCTTTAGGGCTGTCGGATTAAGAGTTTTGCACAATGAATATGAGCCAAAGCAGCTACTTAAAACAAAAAAAACTCTAAATAAATCAAACGGTAGTTGTGTCTCATATCTGCTCCACTACTGACGGTCGGCCCAGTGTGCTGGCGGTATTTACTCTTATTTATCCTTTATATTCCTTTATTCCTTATCATAGAGATTCGTTCTAGTTGAGACTGGAGCTGTTGGATCCGTGTGCCATTTTATTTTATTTTATTTGAATACCATTTGTTGATATTTATTAAAGTTATTCATTTTTAAACGTGATAACACAGTTGCTATTGAAAGAGAATGACCGGATGGCTTTGGTTTGTCATTAAATGACGGGTTTATTTGAATAACCCCACAGAGACTGCTCCTCTCTGAAGCTGCTCGGGGGCCGTTTGGGGGGAAAGTTTCATACTGTAACGAGCAGCCTTTCATCTGGATGTTCACATCTAGTTGAGCTTAGATTTCAGGAGGCACTTAGCCTGCGACTCTTAGATTATCATTCAGCCCTGAGCTTTTAAATCTGTATGCTCAGCCATAATGTTTACAGGGGAATTAAACACTGCCTGCCGTGATGAGAATTTATTTCCTTTTGGCCATCGACATGAGAATAAAGGGGTGTTTTGATCAAGTTTAAGAGCGACTTCTGACTTTCCCTTTAGTGGAGAAACGCCACAAATGACAGTTGAAGAGATTTAAGCTTGTTTAAAGTGTGAGATTTGAAGGTGATTGCCCCTAAAATGAGCATTTCCCCCTCCCCATATTAGAGTTTTAACTGTGAAGGTGCTGATCGGGTCCTACTCGCCCACTTTAACATTTCACAAAAGCTTCTGGGACGTGAGGTGTCACCTGAATTTAAGAGGTCTGATTTTGCACAGTCATGTTGTTGACGTGCTGCATTAAACTGGTGCTGGCAGGCAACGCATGGAAGAATGATGGCTTTCTTTTCCTTTCTTTTCTTTTCTCATTTTAGAGGTGGTGGTGTTGAATGAATGGTCATGTGCCATTTTGTGCGCCACACATTACGTTAATGGTTTAATGTGCCCTTTGCCAACAACTTCACAATTTAAAAAGATGAAATTGCACTCTCATAGATTATACTTGATACATTCCCGGCTGGTCTCAGTAAAGGTTTGATGTGTGGGCAAATCTATAAATGAAAGTATCAGTGCAAAGTTTACTCTAAATAAAAAGAAATGAAAGTGTATTGCTTTGTTTTTTTTTTCAAACTCATTAACCGTCTGTAGACGAATTTATTTCAGCAGATGAACACAAAATCCTCTTAATAGATATTTACCAACTATAAAAAAAATTAATAAACTAATTTCATGCTAATGGATTCGTACATGATTGGCTTTTATCCCGTTTCTGTTCACCATCCCACCACAAGGGGGCGATGGCGGCGCTCTCCTTTGTTCGCCCTGACGACGTGACGTCATAACAAAGCGACTCCGGACGTATCCTCTACAACAGCGGCCTGTGTTTTCACTCGAGCGCTGTAATTTTTTTGTCTTCGGTGGAGGAATTCTCTCTGCTGCCCATCGCCATCATGAAATTAGTCAGGTAAGCGGCGGCGAAATGTTCCCGTTTAACGGGAGTTTGAGGATGAGATGTCGGTGGGAGGTCAGTGGACCGGGATGGATTTAGATTGAAAGCGGAGCGACGGTGAAGAGGCGGGAAGCGTTCCCGTTGAATGGAGGCTGTCCGGTGTTTCCCAAAAAATATTAAGTTTGCGTGTTTACTTATTGTTTATTTCCCATTCCTGTAATCCTGTGTTACAGTTGTTTGGATATTATATTTTATAACGATCATTTTGGGCTACGTGGACTTCTGTGAAGTTGCAGGCCTGTTGTCTGTGAAGTGGTTATCTGAAAAATACATGTATTTTGTGCTCCCAGAGAAGCCTTATTTATTCTTTATTATTTCTTTTAGTGTTTAACTGTGTTTTAGCTCTTGCACCTTTCTGTTTTTAACTAAATGCATTGACTATCCACTCCGGCTAACTGGCGAATAATGAACGAAGCTCCAGGCTTCGTTCATTATTCGCCCAAACTTAAACGTACACACGCGCAAAAAACGACCCCAGGAGTCAATATTTCCCCCAATTTGACATTGTTATCCAATGATATCCACAGGTTTTTGATGAAACTCAGCCATGAGACGGTTACCATTGAGCTGAAGAACGGGACCCAGGTCCATGGCACCATCACCGGTGAGACCCAGCAGAGACCCGGATGCTGCACCCACTTTCTGGGCTTTGGGGGCTGATATTAAAGCAGTAGATTTTAGGTTTTCCAATAAACTGCTAGTTAAAATTACATGATAATCTCTAAAATGGGATGTAGTCCTTTAATTGTAAGCAATAACCTTTGTAGTGTTGTTGAAACGGCTAATAAACACTGTGCAGATATTTAGAGATGTTGTGATCTGATGTTTGGGAGGTTTTTAAACATGGCTGTAAATGTTGACCTGAAGCAGGCAAAGGTTTTTTGTCTCAGGTGGAGTTTAATCGCCCGTTTTCTCGTCTGCAGGTGTTGACGTGAGCATGAACACCCACCTGAAGGCAGTGAAAATGACCCTGAAAAACAGGGAGCCCACTCAGCTGGAGTCGCTGAGTATCCGCGGCAACAACATCCGCTACTTCATCCTGCCAGACAGCCTCCCGCTGGACACCCTGCTGGTCGACATCGAGCCAAAGATCAAGTCCAAGAAGAGAGAAGCAGGTAAGAGGCGTTCTAAAAACTCTAAACGTGGGGCCTTTTTGAGGAGGCTGATCAGAAATTACTGCTTGAAGTGTAGGAGGAAGGTTAATGTTAATATTATTGTTTTTCTTTGTTTGTTTGAGGTTTTTCAGGGCAGCCGCTCGTTTAATGAAGATGCTCTTAAAGCAGAATCAGGAGATTTAACTTATTTCTGTTTCCATTTCAAGCTGCAAGAGGTTTTAAAGAAACAGCACTTTTTTAAAAAGATATGAATTATATATTCAACAAAATGACTTTCTGATTTAGTTTTATTTTTGTGAAATCTCAAACACGGGTTTGCCGTCTTAAAGCAAACCAGGAACAGGTGAAAAATGGCAAATATGTTTAAGTACATGATGGGAAATCCTATTTTAGTGTTTTTAAATCACCAAATGCTTCAGCTCAGGACTCTGATGAGTTTGGCACACAGCTTTTTGTTTGGGTCGACACGTGAAGTGTGTCTGGCTGTGTCCCTTCATTCCCTCTCAGATGTGTTGATAGACTTTGTTTCTCTCCTCAGTGGCCGGTCGGGGCCGCGGCCGAGGGCGAGGCCGTGGCAGAGGAAGGGGCCGGGGCCGAGGTGGACCCAGAAGATGATCATAAGGCCCACAGCTGCTTCCCGTCGTCCCGCTGTCTGTACAGTTTTTTCTCCCCCTTCTCCTCAGAGGAAACGATTTGTGAATTTCCGTGTGTTTTTAGTTTTTTCTTTCTTTTTTTTGTACATTAAAATCCCAACTGAGAGGATAAGTCTGTCTCTGTGCATTGAGTTTCAGTTTCTCCGTTTACTTTGTTTTCAATACAATGTTGAATAAAGTGACTTTGCACAGAAAGGCTCAACAAAAGTTCTTATCAGGTGAAAATGAACTTGTAGCTCAAGGATCACCAGGGTAATGGATGTTCATGGGGAAGGGTCAAAGTGTGAGGTCGTAACAAAAGGAAGTATGACATGAGTACATTTAAACTGCTTTGGAACATGAACCCAGTAGTAGGAGATTTTTTGAGAAAATTAGGAACTTTTTAAACTAAATTAATTCAAATGCACTTGTGCATAGGCTTAAATAATTCTCACTTTCTAGTTGAAAACACGTTAATTAGCATGAAGAAATGGATTGGCGTCTTTATGATCTCGATTTTGAAAAATAATCGCCTTTTAAACAATCGGTTTGATTTTCTTGGTCAGAAGTTTAGAAACGAGTTTTCCACGGTAGTTGCGTCGTCCAGCCGCTAGGTGTCGCCCTGTTCAGCCTCTATTTCAATGTCAGGCCTTAATTTTTAGCGACTGATCTTTTTTTTATTTTTATCGAAAATACCTCAAGACCTTAAAATTTTGCAACTTAAGGCAGCAACAACTTTTAAAATGTTATTAAAAATAAGTATTGTTGGGAAGATCAAGCTATAACGCTGCTTTTAGTTGTAGTTGAGTGATAGCCTTTGAACCGGAAGTAGTTGAAAAATATTACTGTTAAGGCATGAAATAATATTAATTTGTGGTGTTCGAGTAAAAAACTCGATACTAATAAGTTTTAGTAAATTTAATTTAGTATTTGGATATGTTACTAAGATTTCTTGGTACCAAACAGCCGCCGGTAACCTGCGGAGGAGGTCCAACTTCCGGTCGGAGGGCAGGTGTATTCCGTCTTAGATACATCAACCATGAACTGTTAATATTTGTAGCCTCGGGTAAATAATTCTGACAGATCCTCGTGAACAAAAAAACACATTTAAAATGTCTAGTGTTAGCTCAGGTCGTTTTATGTATTTCGCTTTTGGGAGCAACTTGCTGAAGGAAAGACTTCTGCTTGCTAACCCTTCGGCGACATTTTTCTCCACAGGCCGACTGAAGGTATGTAAATGTTATTTATTATCTTACATTTGTAAAATCACTTTTGTACACCTTATATCACTGGTGAGTTATTAGTAAATGTCCACATGTTTTAAGGTAATAATCTCTGTCATGTAACGTTTCGCTAAATACTGGATAATGGT